TTCATAGCACAATGGTTTGTTATTATTAGTGTTGTTAGATATTGAACTGCTTTCTTTCAATGTAAGTTAATGTTGATTATCTTTAGACTTATTTTTAGCTTTATTTTCACTCTATAGCCCAGAAATGTTAAATATTTACTGCACAATACTTGTAAATTTATTGGATTTTTAAAACACTCCATCACCCAGGGTGAGGACTGAAAGGAAGCTGGTCATTTAAAAGTCAATGTCTGAGCAGCACAGAGAGCTTTTGTAAAAAGCTCCACAATGGAGCTCTCAAAGCACCTTGTCAGGGGGAAAAGTCGAGACAGGAGAATGGTTGAAAGACATTTGTCCGAACCCGTGCTCGTATAAAACCTCATTTCTCAGCCACATGCTTTAGTCACCTGCTGAAGAGACATGAGCGTCCTCTGACATCCAGGTGTTTTCTTCTTAAGGTGAGCAATTTTCCCCCACAAAAACAAACGCTTACTTTTTATTCTGAACGATGCTGTAATATCTGAATAATATATGTTTTTTCTGCAGTATCTCATTATGGCTTCATTTGGTGCTCTTTTGATGGTGTTGCCTGTTGCACTGACATGTGCGCCACAAAAAGCAGGTAACGACTCAACTAAACAACAGGTCTCACAAATCTGTTTTATATACATTAATTTGCTAACCAGAAGGGATGGTAAATCAGTTGAATTATTTRCTCGTTCATTTAAATTTTGACAGTAAAGCTGCAGTTAGAAAAAAAAACTTTTTATGTCCTTCAATTTCTTTATTGTAACTGTTAAGGAGCAGGTGCTCAGGCTTTTAAATGTGAACACAGAATAAACTTTCAAAATGAATAAACAGCATATTTTGCAGAATGAAACTTAAAATTAAATTTAAGATGATCCAGAATTCAAAAATGGTTACGTCTAAGACTCTTCATCAAATCACTGTTTTTACCTTGAACCAAACTGAAAAGTGATGGGTTTTTTCGACAACAAATAACAATTCCTGTACTTAAGAAAATTCTGAAATGGAAATTCTGAAAAAAAAAGTATAAATCACATTTTCTGTGGTTCTTTCTTTTAGTGTTTGGTTTGGATTGACTTGGAGAACAGTTAAAGCAATGCATGATGTAATAATCTAAAAAAAAGTTAATGCTCTTGGATTTCTTCTATACAGTGTCAAAAAATAATCTTTAKGAACAAGACTTTTATTTTTTATCCCACAAGCAGTAAAGTTGCAGTACGCCGACTCTAAATAACACAAATAATTTTGAGACAGGACTCCACATGTTCTTTACCACATCTGTTTCTCAGACTATGTTGTGGTGTCATGTTTCCCAAACGCCATCATTGCCAACGTCCCCGAGTGTCCTTACGGCTGGGAAATAGAGCAGCTGTCCCTGGGTGGGGTGTGCTACACGGGAATTCACAGTCCAGGTTATTATCGCTTCATCATCCCAGACCTGACACCCAGAAACCACTCGTACTGCGGCACACAATCTGAGGTAAGATCGAGCCGGWCACAAACCTTCAACCCGCTTTTCTCAGTTGATTAGAAAACTACACTGCCTGGCCAAAAAAAAGGGTACCTACSTGGATTTAACTAAGCAAACAGGTACGAGCCTCTCATTGGATTATTACTACATGGGCGATTATCTATCAGCTGGTTATTAAACCTATTGTTTAACCCCAACTGGTGCAATGAGTTGCTTCTCATTTCTTAAACAACCATGTGGAAAGACACATCCTGTGGTCATGGAAAGATGTCTGTCTGGTTTAGAAGGGTCAAATCAAGCAGAGAAAACATCTGAAGAGATTGCAGAAACTACTAAAATTGGGTTAAGAACTKTCCGACACGTTATTAAAAACTGCAAGGATAGTGGGGACCCATCGTCTTCGAGCATGCAGTGTCTGCTGTACAAGCCTGTGGGGGCAGTTGGTCAGGTCTAGGAAGCTTATCGAAACAACGTCACAGCGAATGCGTRCAGTTGTTACACCATATTTTGTGACCGTCATATATTGTGACCAGAGGGAGCGCTGTTGCGTTTCTACAACAGAACTTGGCYGAAAATGACCACAAAGAAGAATATGCTGAAGACTTACGAAGAAAAAAACAAAAACTTTTGACTGTTGTTATGGTCACAGAATATGATTTCTGTCATGTATTGTGACTTCACTGTAGCTAAGGAAATAGTAAAAAGTTTTATTCAAAAACTATTTATACTAACTGTTTACATCCTCTAGTGTCAGAAAAATAACTTTTGATCACTGACATTGTGACTGTTATTAAATTAGTATAGGGTCACATAATATGATAGCTATTATCATGTRTAGTAGTAGTAATAGTAATAGTCAACATGCCAGTGATCAGAAGTTATTTTTCTGACAGAGGATGTATACAATGAGCAGAATCAGTTTATGAATAAATATTTTTATTATTTACCAAGCTACAGTGAAGTCACAATAAATGACAACAGTTGTCATATTTTGTGACCTCTGGGTTACACTTTTGGCGTATCATATTCTTCTTTGTGGCTATTTTTGGCCAAGTTCTGTTGTTGAAATGCAACAGCGACCTCTCTGGTCACAATTTATGACGATCACAAAATATGGTGTAACACCTTGATCAAAGCTAAAGGCGGTCCAACAAAATATTAGAGTGATGACTTATTATATTACTA